TCTCGGTAACCGTTTTGCATAACTTGGAGCAAAACTTCATGTTAACGAGTTGCTCCATTTTGCAATGACACGAGTTCTCACACTGACTTTTGGCTTGATCTCCGCGTACACCACCGCTTTACTCCAGTGACTTTCATGATAGTGGGCTTGTTGAGGTGTCTATCAATAGGTAGGCGCAGGTCTCTAATCCTAACCACCGCGCTTCTTAACATATGAGGCCTTTCACCGAACTTTTCAGACGAAACTTGTGTTTACTAGGACATCCATGCTTACCCAACACTGCTCAAAGCGTGTCGCGGTTCACCGCGTCAAATTCTTTAATAAATTCGACGAACAGCGAGTACATTAACTGATATCGCTCACGGCATTTCTACAGTTGGGGAGCCATGAACACCGTATCCATCATGATGCGGCCCGAACGGAATCCGCATTGCTCTTCAACCACTTTGTGTTCGGGGACCTGAGTGACGGTGCGGTTGAGCAGCATCCGAGCAATCAGCTTCCATATGCAACTCAGCAAGTTAATGCTACAATACTTGTTGGCACATTGCTTGCTCCCTTTGCTCTTGTACAGTAAATAAATGGATACATTGTTGATTCTCGACAGTGCGAGACATGCCTACATGGGTATGATCATGATGATACTAAAAACGATCGGTAATTGTACACCTGTGTAACAAGTTAACCAGTTGCAGAGTGGATTTATGTGAGTATGTGCACATGTAGGCATATGTGTGTGGCCATGTTGTATAAGGTTTTCAATGTGACGCTGCACATGTGCTTGTGTTTGATCTGGTTGTCAGTGCAAGAATGGATCACAAGAACCCTTCGAAGTGATGAGTGACGTCTGTGGAGGGGTTAGCATCATCATGATGGGCAAAAGGTGGTGACTTTATTTATGAAGAGTCTCGTCCGCCACGTCGCAGCGTTGTTAAACTGACATTTATGGCTTTTTACAGGGCGAACGCTTGTCAGGCAGCAACCAACCACGTAGCACAAGGGCAACTTTTACTTCAGCAGGACTTGCTCTTTCATCCAATTGCGTTCTAACAAGAAGTGCAGCGCATGTGAAATTGCGGGCCCACCGTTCTTCACACTTGCTGTTTCGTCAGTGCTCTCTACGTTTCAGCGGCCTAGGCCTATCTGCAATATCGGACTTCTCGTGTTTTTTGTTGCATCCCGTTCGATTTTTTCCAGTCAGTCTCTGAACCGCTGTTCAAGTGATCGTCGAAATGCCTGCGCCACATCTGCAAAACATATGCAGCTTGTGTGTATGAAGCGACAGAAGCAATGTCCACTAGCGTCCTCATAGGCTGCAATGTTGGTCCATGCACCGCATTTAATGAATCATAGAAATCCTTATGTTGGCGGCGTTAGACCTAACGTTCCGTCTATTTTACCTCCTTTGTCCACTATAAATTCCTGGTGCAGTGGAGATCCCGAGTCGACTATTGGCGCATCTTGTGAAAATTACTCCTCGCAGTCGTCAGGATCCTTCTCATGCGCAACAAACACCGCATTCTTCTCCGACACTTATGCGCCAGCGGTCATACACTTGTCGTCAAACCATTCGAGCTGCTTACAGTTTGCGCGACTACTTGTCTCCTCAGTAGTAAAGGCTGTCTGTTCCTGGAGGCGCTTCCATAGGATGCGGACTGAATCCGTCGTGTTAACGTCTCCAAGGCGCATGGCCGTCGCATTTTCCAATTCCATCCTCTTTGCATTACCTAAAGAACGAATAGTAAATCTCCACTGGTTCACCATAGAGAAACAGTTCATGGATTTACAAGCATACACGTACCATACAGTTCGCACCAACCTGTTATCAGTTCCACCCTCAACTCCACGCAGTGCACGCGGCATGCACATTTCACACATGTCACGCTGGTGTTTGATAGCATAGTAGAGCAGGTGGACGTGACCGCGCCGTGGGTGCGACCAAATCGCTATATCACTTGCGCCCACTGGGAACTGTGTTTGAGATCATCTGGCCTTGAGTGGCACACAGTGAGAGTAGCTGGTCCCCTTTCCCGTTGACTGTGTCAACACCATACTGACCGATTACGTCTGTCCCACACTGCCGCATCACACCCAGTGCACGCGTCGAAATCACCCAATAGGAATAGTCGATCTCTCCTCGGCACAGACCGTATCACGGTGGACAGCTGAGTGTAAAACCGATCCTTATTGTTATTGGGATGACACTCTTGCTAAAAAAAACTTGATGCGCTCTGTCCGGAGCGTAGACGCATTGTTACCAATCGTGGGCCATTTATGCTGTCGGATAATGCAAACCTGACACCATGTTCGCGTGGTGCTGTGATGGCCTTTCCCACCAAGTAGACTGTGTAACCAGCACAGTTCTCATGCAGTTTACCTTGGTCAATCAGCCGAGCCTCACTGAGTGCAGCAATCTCGATCCCGTGAGTTCCATCACAATCGGTGCAGTGCGTCGCTCGGGGCACTCATTCGTTTTCCGGTCGAATAATGTGCGCACGTTGCAGCATCCGAAGTTGAGCGCTTTGTGTGTAGACATACGATTGATCTGGGCAATCACTGTGATGGGGGGTGTGATTGGATTGGGATGAGGTTGGAAAAATGGATCTGGAGAGAAAAAAGTTAGCATGAAGGCGCAACTGGCAATATATTTCCATTTACCTACCTTGTGATATTCAACAGACAAGGCGGCCTTTTCCCTCTACTGCGCGACAGCTGATGCATCATGAACTAATTTGTAGTCTCATTGATATACTGCCAACTCGTCCACACCTGAACAAGAGAACGACTCCGGTTATCAACGAAAGGGTACTATAAAATCTACTCCCAAAAGGTAGCGGGCCGTACGCCCTGAGTCAGTGAACCGACACGCAAAATTGTGTGTCCTGACTTTTAGCTAGAAAAAACATGTAACGCAACTCCCACCCAGCAGTCGCCACGAGGAGGCGTCCAGGAAATGAGACCACGGCACAACACTAGCAACAGCTGGTCGATCTGCTAGGATCTCGCCATCACAAGCCTCAGCGAGCCATGGACTGTCCAACCACATGTACACCTGCATGCAATGACAATCGAGATTGCGCATCGTAATCCATTCACACGACGAGTACTTCAATCATCATCATCATCATCATTATGCACGTTAGCTGCAGGTGGAAAACACCTCGGCTATTGTGCCGCAATACAAAACACAAGAAAAGGAAAACAAACAGTGGCACGCCGGCTGAGTCCCCCGTAACGCATGGACATCGTTCCGGAGAGCTAACAGCTGACTATCGTGCCGTAAAAAGAGACTCATGCCTAACGACTGAGATCGTGATTGGAGGGAGATGCTAGGCAGGAGGCGGATGGACAAAGGAACTCACAAATCAAACGCCATTGGGGCCGGCTCCAAGCCATATCAGCAAGTGTGTCCAACCAAACGTGTTCACCGTCCTTAGGATCCCAGCCAGACAGTCGGGATGTACCAACCGACGCCAACTTCGAAGTCAGGGTTTTCATCTCTCTCGAACAACTCATCGTGTGGCCTCCACTCCTCCTCTTCCAACCACACCCACAACGCGCAAACCATGCACGTCGCAGAAGTCGGTGTGCTGGCATGCGCAACACGTCGCCCAGCCATCGGAGCCTGGTGCGTGATATAATGGTGCTGAGCGGTTCACTCGCTCTTCCTGCACCCAATACGCGACGCCGAGCATGCTCATTGCTCACGCGGTGCTCCCACCAGACATGAGCTAAGCTGCGAAGACAGCGATGATCGAATATGACGAGCCTCTTTATGTCTGTCGATCTGATGGTCCAGGTTTCACAACCATATAGGAAAGTTGAACGGACAGCTGCGTTATAAACTCTGCCCTTCAGGGCGAGAGTAACGTCGCGTCTGCGCCACAGGTGGCGGAGATTGGCAAAAGCACCTCGAACTTTTGCTATACGGTTCATAACCTCATGTTCAATCTCACGGGTGCTAATATAGCTGCCCAGGTACTTGAATTCCTGAACGACTTCTAGCAGATCACCACCAAGCGTTAGCGCAGGGTTGGGTCTCTGTCAATCTTGGAGAAGTACTTTGCATTTCGATGGAGCAAAGCATAGCCCAAAACGATTGACAACCAGTGCTAATCGGTCCAGTTCTGCTTGGCATGTTTGGGAGCTGTCACAGATTAGGGCAACATCGTCCGCATGCTCCAGGTCAAGAAGTCGCCCACCAGGAAGTAGCTCTACACCTTCTGGGTCGTGTCCAGGGAATGCTGATTCCATGACTTCCTCAGCTGCGAAGTTAAATAGGAAAGGTGACAGCGAGCAACTTTGTCTCACACTGCTGGTGAAAGCGAGAAGTGGAGACAGTTCGTCATAAACCCCACTCTGCTCGAACTATGTGCGTACAGTGCCTTGATAATGTTTACATATTTATCAGGCACGCCTTTCCTCAGCAGACAGTCCCAAAGGGCACGTCGATCGATTGAGTCGAAGGCACCTTTTTATGTCAAGTACTTCAAAATAACCCTTCAATCAGTCCTTAACAGTTGTGATAATGGTTGCCCATTCTTGACATGGTGACTAAAAAGGAGAGGACTTAACTAATATCCAAATGGTCCCGGGTTGGAGGCCTACTATTTCTACCTGAAACGCGTAGTGGAGTGCAGTGTTTTTCCGGCGGGCAACATCCAATTTTCATCTATTCCGTCGATTACGGTCCCATTGATCGAGTTGGCCAAGGTTCACTTCAATGGGAGATTGCGCGTCGCAATCCAATCACAACGATTGCTTCCAAATGACAATCCAACCAATCTGTTCTTACGCTTTTTGTGAAGCGCGGCTAATTGTTGAACACTCCCTTTGACTTGTCGGTTTACTTGAAGTTCCATTTACTGTCGTTTGTCTGTTGTATACTGTACTTCATAACACTCACGAGGTTCCACCTACACACATACTTCGTAATTCGCACGGAATGGCTAGTTCAGCTTGCCAAGTTTCCATCAGCTGTTTTCTTTTAATTTGATCGAGGCAATAGCCGATATAGG